CCCAGTCCTGTGAGAACTAGCCATTCCTGAGACAACAGCATCAATCATTCATTCAGGCAGAGCCCTCCTGACCTGAACCCCTCCCGGAGGGTCCACCTCCCCATTCTGCTGCACTGGAGATGAAATTACAGAGGCTTTGGGGGAGACATTCAAACCCCAGCAGTGCGTATCTGTGTCTGTATCTGCATCTATACATAGCATCTCTATGTAGCTACAGTTCCCAATTTAGATGGCTACGGCAAACAATTTTTCAACTTTGGTGTGAACACAACACGCATTCAGTAGAGACTGTATTTTGAGTACACACGCACCCATTCTGTTTTTCACTTTCAATTTAGTATTCATAAATTTCATACGATATTCAACCCTTCATTATAAAATAGGTTTTGCGTTATTTTGCCCAACTGTAGGCTAATGTGAGTGTTCCGAGCAGCGTTTAAGGTGGGCAGGGCTAAGCCAGGATGTGTTAGGTGTATTAAAAGCACTTTCAACTTATGATATGTCCAACTTATGACGGGTTTAGCCGGACTTAACCCCACTGTAAGTCTAGGAGCACCAGCACATACCTGCAACGCTACCTATGTCTGTATTTGTGTATATCTGGATCTACGTGCCCGTATCCATGACTCTGTAACTGTGTGTCTATGCCTGCATTTGCATCTATGTCCGTCCCCGTGTACCTGTGTCTACACCCATGTGTTTGTACTGGTACCTGCATCTGCGTCTATGCAGACAAGCAGTCGCTCTGGCTTCTCCTCAGGGGAAACAAGGGTTTTTAACCAGAGACTCCTCCTCTTCCCCAGACCTGAAGCAACTCTCCTTCTCACCATAGTGGGCAGCAATAGAGTAAGGCACTCGGGGGACTCAGGTAAAGGTTGCCCCTGACATCTGGGGTGGGGTGTCCAGGCTCTGTGGCTTCTACAAAATCAAGTGTCATGGGCTGAACTGTGGCCCCCAAATAACTATTTTGAAGCTTTAACCCCCTGTGCCTCAGAACAGGACTGTCTAGGGATGGGATCTTCAAGGAAGCAATGATGTTAGAGTGAGGTCATTAGGGCAAGCTCTGATCCAACGTGACTCGTTTATTCCAGGATATTAGGACACAGACGCACCGAGGAACAGTCACGTGAGGACGATATAAGACGACGGCATCTGCAAGCTGAGGAGAGAGGCCTCGCCAGAAACCAACCCGCCTGCACGTTGTCCTTGGGCTTCTTCCAAAACTGTGCAAAAAGTAAGTTTCCTTTGTGCCCCTCAGCCAGTGGCACTTTGCTATGGTAGCCTACAGACTAAGATGCCAGGGACTGCTGGGCCCATGGGCATGTCTGCAATGAGCGTAAGTGGAAAGAAAACCCACTTCCTGTGCTGTCGAGGACAGTCTGAGAGGGGCCATGGCCGCGTGTGCCCATGGCAGGTGACAGGCAGGGCTGTTGCTGGAGGGGCTCAGCTCTGTGCTTGTCTCCTCAGCACTGGACCCAACAGGCCAAGATGACCCTTTACTGTCCCCTAATTCCTGTCCTTTCAGGATGAGCCTCACAGGACACCCACGTCCCAACGCAGACACTGTGCTTTCTGGCAGCGTTCCGCTTTAGAAGTACGTTGGCAGCACGTGGGGACTCAGATGCTTGGTCTCGACGCACAAGCCCCCAAGCCGTACTGCCCCTTGGAGCCACTGCTTGGTGTGTCTGAACAGACATCTTCTTGCCCGCTTCTGCGCTCACGTGTGAATGTGCACCTGAAGCTTGCAGCACCTCATGCAGCAGGCCATGTGATGCTTGTCCTGAGCCTGCCTTCTTCACCTGGCCACCAGACCAAGGGCTCGCGGGGAACTGAGGACACGGCCCAGCATAGCACAGACACAGGAGTCACTGAGGCAGAAGGCACGAGACTCCACCCACCCCACGCCCCTCGAGATCTGACAAAGTCAGAGCAACCTCACAGGGCTCCCTAGCCCAGAGACTGGTGAGACCCTCACGGTGCCCCCTGGTCCAGCAGTTGGCGAGACCCTCATGGCGCCCACCCCCCTCAGCCCCGCGGTTGCACACTGTCTTGGCAGGAGCCAATTAGTAAGTGTCTTGGGTCCTTCAGGCCAGTCTTTGTTGCAACTATTCGGCTCAGCAGTTGCAGCCTCAATGCAGCCCAGACAATGTGTAAATCAAGCGATGTGGCTGTGTGCCCAGAAAACTTAATCTACTAAAGCAGGCAGCACGCCACATTGGCCACGGTCCGCTGCCCCCCACACTTGACCATGGAATCCTCTAAGGTTGCTCTTAGACCCTTTCCACTCACGGCCTGCCCAACCTGCCCCTTGCTACTAATGTCCCAGGAGGGTTCTGAGGGCCTCAAGCCCTCAGCAGCACAACAGAGTCATCTGGGAGATTTCAAGGGCCATGAAGTCGGGGCCTAATGAGTCCAAAACCTTTGGAGGCGGAGGGAGCTCAGCCAGGAATAGCTTTAAAGCTTCCCCTCCTTCAACTAGAGATAAGTTACAGAATTCCTGCCCTCGAGGATTGATGGTGACTGAGCTCCAGTGGGGTGGGTCCAGGGCCCTGGCGGCAACACCCTTCAGGAATGACCACAGGGGCTCGAGGGAGCCTGGGGACACAGGGGACGCTGGGCCCCCTCCATGCTGGGTGTGGAGAAGGATCCAGCCTCGAGCCCCAGCTGCCACTGACCGGATCCACGCCTGACACTCACAGGACCAGGAGGGTCTGAGACAGGGCCGATCCCATAGGACCTGCAGCCCCGGGGGCTGAGTCACAGCCAGAATAAGGACACTACTCGGCCGGCTGCTCCCCTGCTCGACCTTCGCCATTAAATGTCCCTCTTGACCCTCCAAACAGCCACACTCTGGCCAGGAGCGTGACTACCGACAGGCCGGCAGCCAGCTCCGAGCACATGTCTGCTTGGTGGTCGATGGCTGGTCCCCATGGACCTGAGCCGGAGCAGCAGAGTGGCCGCAGGGGAAGCCCATGCAGCCGGGGAACCCCTGCCCCGCAAGTGGCCCTCCCGGGGCGATCAGCCTGCAAAGCTGGGCTCTGCCAGAGGCTCTGACGTGAGGGCAGAGGCTGGTCCGCGGCCTTCCCTGGAGCCCGGTGGGGGCGTCTAGGGCAGGATGTGCCACAGGTGGGTTGGAGGCGGCCCTGGCCGAGGCTGGTCCTGTTGTGCCCCTCCACGGGCAGTGCAGTCCCAGGACGATGGGCAGGCCCCGGCTGACCCCCAAGCGGAACGCCTGGGCCAGGGGACACGCTGCGGAGGCAGAGGGGAGAAGGTAGGATCGCTGCACCCTCAGCCTCAGGGCTGACCTCACAAGCGGCCACATGAGATAGGGCTGACCCATCAGCAGACACCACCCAACTTCCCTGATGGCCGTAGACACAGACACGTGACCAAGCATAGCCAATCAGAACCAGCCCTGGGGCTTGCCCTGGGCCTGCTGGGAAAGAGCCGAGGTCTCTCCCTCCCAGGACTACAGAGCAGTGAGGTCATGTGTGTGCCTTCGTGTCTGCAGCAGGAGAGGTGCCTAGGACGGAACCAGGATGGGGACAGGGCCACGGGGCAGAGCCAGGCTGGGGGGCGGGGATGCAAGGGGCCTCAGGCGAGGGGGGGGGGGCACCTGCGGACACCCGCTGCGAGCCTGGCTTGCTGCTTGGGTCAGGGTTTATTCCTCTGTGCCTCAGTTTGCCTTCCTGCAAAGCCAAGTGGCGACTCTCCAAGCAGCTCTTTTGGGAGCAGCTAAGAGAGGCATTTCCTGCAGAATCATCTTCCTGTCTTTAGAGGAAAGATGCTTTATGGTTCTTACTATGGAACGAAGCCCTGCGGTCGGCCCTCAGGCTGTGCCTTTGGCCAGGGCCCGGGTCGCAGTGGTGGGACCTGGTGTCAGCTCAGCAAGCTAGAGCTCCTCTTCCCTCCCAAGCATCTCCCGGTGGGACTTGAGCCAGACCCGGAGGGACTGCAGCAGAGGCTGCCGGGAGATCACCTCAGGCTGCACCCTGGTTCGCTGTGCCTCAGATCTGGCTCTGGGGCGAGTCCTCCGCGGCATCCAGCAGAAGGCAATTGGCATCATTTTCACCAGGGTGCAGACAGGCCCCGCTCCATCCTTCAAACCATAATCATCACCTGGTGCCCCTTCCTGCCTGGTGCCTCCCTGGCCAGCGCCCACCCCTCTTGGGGGCAGCACCGTGACCCCGGGGGAGCCTCCTCCCCTACTTGGTTCTCTTGGGTGGGCAGAGGGCTGATCCCCACCCTTAGCCCCAGCCAATCACAGCGTTCCTCTCCTTTGGCCTCCAGGAGGGCCCATGATGGAGAGGTCCAGGCAGGCCCATCAGAAATGATGGGGTACCCCTGAGGATCTTGTGGGAAATGCTGGCTTGACAATGGCCAAGCGTTTCCCCCACCTGTTGTAACTAGAATTTTGCAGGAACCGAAAGCCTCCTGCCCACCCCAGGGCAGCCTGAGAATGGAGTAGTAAGGAAGCAGAGCCTCCTGGTGAGGGAAGAGCTGTGGTCATGTTGGAGCCCTGGCCCCTGGTGTCCCCGATGTGTGAGTCTTGAGTCTCCACTCGTGTTTAAACCCTTTGAGTTAGGTTTTCTGTCCCTTGCAGCCAAAGGAATCCTAATGGCTCTGTGTGGTTCCCGAGGCTTCTGCCAACATCCCCTCCAGCAGCCTCGGTGCCTGCCACTCCCCAAGCAAGAGGAGAGCATGCCCCTGAGAAGGGAACCGCCGGGCATCGGGAAGGCCCAGGGCTGTGTGTGGGTACTGCTCTCGGGCCTGCAGCTGCACCTGCTGCCTTGACTGGAAAAGCGCCGGGAGCTCTGATGACCTGCCTGGAAGCCGTGCCAAGCCTTCCTGGGTGTTTGGGGAAAAGAGACTCTGACTCACTCCCCCAAGAGGGGCCTTGGCGGGAAATGACACGGCACCCTTCAGCAGTGTCCTCAATCCGTGCCATCTCCACAGAGCCCCGCCCCCTCCCACCCTCCCCACACAGGCAGGGAACGTACCAGAATAACCAGCAGGGCAGGGGCGACGAAGGCCCAGATGGCACCACTCCCCAGGGACAGCCAGCAGCTGTGGAGGAAGCAGAGTCATTATTCGGCCCCACCTGCCACAGCCCCGCTGCCAGGGCATCTTCACCCACCCGTGGGGGCTGTGACCGTGTCTTCCCCAGCCACGGGGTCCACCTGGGACACCGTCAGAACAAAAGTCTTAATCCCCCAAAATGCTTTTTATCCTTGGTGATCTCATGTCTCATTCTTGGAAAGGATTTTCTGGGTTTGCAGACTGGGTCAGCAACCTCTGGAGAGTCTAGCCAAAGTCCAAAGTAGGTTTTAATTTCATTATGAAAGATAAATAAGCCTTTGGCCAGGGACCAGCTTTCTGGCAGAGCATTTCAAACATGACCTAATAGGGCCTTCCAGGAGGGAATCGGGCAGGGACATGTCACGTGACACAGGCCTGGCCATTCCCCCCTGCCCGAAGCACGTGGTCAGTTGCGTGCTTTCAGCGCCCCACCCAAGAGAAGCCCTTCCAGGGGGCCCAGCGATTGCTCGGGTGTCCTGGGTGAGGGCCCAGTTTGAGGAGTGGCCTCTGAGATGTGACTCTCACAACCCAAGGAAGCCAGCTCCTTTCCAAGCCCGTCTCTTTCCAGAGCTGGTGGCACCATGAGGAGCCTTGGGTCCCTAAGACAGCTTATCTTCTCACTCCTGGGACACAAGGTGTTGGCCAGGCACTGGAGGGCCTTCAGCTGGATCTGGGCAGGTACATGGCACTGACCCCCCCAGCACATGACGTGGTGTCCTCGCCTTAGTTCCCGGTGGCTGCTCACCAGGCAGTGTCTGGCCCGTCATGTCAGTCCCACGTGTGCGCCATCTCACTTAACCCTGCACTGCTCGAGGTGTGACCCTCCATTCTGCAGATGAGATGTCGGAGGCCTGGAGAGACCAGGTGACTCCCAGGTCACTCAAGTGCCCCGCCTCTCTGCTCCCTCCTCCCCGAGACCTCCTGGCCAGGAGATACAAAATGCCCCGAAATGGGACAGCACCTGTGAGATGCCCACAACACGGAGAGGGGGACTTTCCCGGGGGCAGTGCCATTTAACTGGAAGAAGCACAGCAGCTTGGCCTGGCGCCTCTGGAAGGCACAGCTCAGCCTGGGCTCATTTTCGGGGTGATGCTGCTGCAGAGAACCCGTGCCCTCCGGCGTCCACATCAGAGTCTCACGGCGAGGAGAAGCTTCTGACATGATATGCCTGTACTGCTCGAGACCCAGCGAGGGCCTGAACCGGCTGGGATCCTGGCTCTCAGGTGTGTGGGAAGAGGCCTGGTAGACTTGGACCCTGGGGCTCAGGCTGTGGGTGAACCTCCCATCCTCAACTCCAGGCGGGACAAAAGGAACAAAAGGCACAAGTGCCACCAAGCTCTCTGAGAAGGACATTCTGCTAGCTGGCGCCTGGTCTCCTAACAGCACCTGATGGAAAGGAGGGGCCAGGACAGTGATCTGTCCAGCCTCGTCCCCGCATGCGCTCACGGGCCTCCACAGCACTTCGCCTCAGTCGGTGGCTGCACCAACACGGAAAAGGCCAGGCTTCACCGAGTCTCGCAGTTCAGCTGTGACACAGGCTTCTGGGGTGGCGTGAGGGTAACCAGCCTCCCTCCCTTCCCGAGCCCTCCCTTCCTGAGGCCTCTCTTTTGCGTTTTCATTCAGTGGCACCTCGGTGTGGCCAAAACGGCAGTAGCTTCCCAAAGGCATTTGAGCTGAGGCCTTTTGCCCTGCGTCCCTGGAGCCTGAGCACCTAACCTGGGCCCATGACACCATCGCATCTGCTTCCTGATTCAAGCCTGGCCCATCAGCTGCATCTCCAGTGGTGCATGGGATCCTGGACACCAGAGGGTCCCTCCCTGCCGACCCTGGACACTGTAAGTTCCCTCCCTGCTGATCCTGGATACTGTAAGTTCCCTCTCCTGCTCAAGCTGTGGACACCCGGGACCCGCCTGCCTGGTACACATGAGATCACATGTTCACTGTCATACTGGGCATGTACTACACGGAAGGCACTTGCTGACCTCCTGGAAAGGGCTAAAGGTCACATGTTGGGCTCCATGGTCACCAGAACTGTGTGTGGGAAGATCACATGGGGAAGTGTCCTATCAGCGGCTCCCAGAAATCACCTCTCCATTCCCGGACCCCCTGTCTCCCCTGTTCTGGTTTCGGACTGGGCGACATCCAGGCACAGGGGCTGCTATCCCCCCTCCGGTCCCTCTGTTCTCACTGCCAGGGCTTGGGGAGGCAGTCCTGCATGGGACCCCTTCGCCGCCCCTAGAACAAGCCCCAGAACAGCGTGGGGAGAGAGCCAGGGCCTGTCCTGCGAGAGGCCTGCCAGACACAAGTCCTGCTCAGAATACTCCTCACTTACTTGTGACTTTTTCCGTAGCTGTCCACAGCGGATGCTATGGTGACGATACAGATCAGGAGCGGCAGTCCTGTGGGAAACCGAGAGAGTCTGTCAGCTGGCCCGGCCGCTCCTCCCTCCACTCACTCGACACCTGATACCCACAGAGAGCTCCGTGCCGAGTGCCAGGCACAGACAGCCATCCCCAAGAACTCACAGTCCAGACACAAGGATAATACATTCACACTCACACACACACACACACACACACACACATACACACACACACACACACACACACACACACACACGCTTACACATGCATGCTTACACTCACACATACACACCAGATGATGTACACAGGTCTTTGTCACAGCAAATGGCACGGGGAAACAAGACACTGCCTTGGTGGAAGGGACCTGCGGGGCTCAGCCAGGGCCAAGGCTCCCCAAGAGACAACTGCCAACAGCTGAAGTCATCTGAGGTTGTCCTAACAGGGTGGTACCCAGCAGGCCAGAGTCCAGGACTTCCACTCAACAGCCTACAGTGCACAGGACAGCTGCTCACAAGACTGCCCAGTCCATGTGCTGCTTGAGAAATCTGCTCTGGAGTGGTGAGGGAAAGATGGGAGAAAGAGGAGCTTGGAACACTGGCTTGGCTGGCCTTAGGGAACACTAGGCTCCATAGGCATGTGACCCATCACTGCGTAAGTGGAACATCAAAAGCCTTAGCCACAGCTATTGGTCCAGGGTTGGGCATGTGGCCCTGGATAGACTAATGAGACTTCACCAGGGACTTTTTTTGCGCCTGACGAGAAACAAGAGCTCTTTTCCACATCATCTTGAGAGGATGATGATGTCAGTGAGACCGGTTTCCAGGCAGCCATCCTGGCACCAAGAGGCAGAGAGGGCATGACCTCAACACAGAGGAGATCAGATCAGAGAGACAGGAGAAGAAGACTAAACCTTGATTATGTATCAAGTCAGACTTGAAGTCCAACACCTTGGAACTTTTTTGTTATGTGAGCCAATTCTCTCTCTCTTTTTTTTTTTTTTTTTGTCTAAGTCAGTTTGAGTTGGATTTCTGTTGAAACTGAGTGTGGCAAATCAGATGTGGCCAACTTCTTACAAAGCCATGTCAGACCACATGTCAGCTGGTGGTAGAGGAAAGGTCCAGGAGTGTGATAGACAAACACCTGGGCCAGCAGTTCTCAGAGCTTTCGGTCATTGTGCAAGAGATTCTAGTTGAACTACTGTCAGAAACTTTACCCCGACCATGGGTGGCCTCCACCCTCACTGTTCAGACTCAGGGTCGGATCGGATGTGTCTTACGATCCAAGAGGAGGCTCACCTCACAGCCTTCCTGAGCCCAGCACCCCAGACCTCATCTGGAAACGGCTCTCTGCTTCCACAGCACATGAGCTCTGAGGCACGGACCTGATTCTAACCCTGAAAATAGCACACTCCCGGCTGCCCAGAGGTGGGCATCGTCCTATCTGGCGTCCTGAGCACACAGCTTGCAGTCTGCCCGGATGCAGAGAAGGGTGGGAGTGAGCAGGGAGATGCCAGGGGCAACTCTCCCCACTGCTCAAAAGGGCCTTTCTCAGACTCTCGAGCAGAAAGCTGGGGTGGGAAGGTGAGCTGAGCGCGGGGCTCTCTGTGCCATCTCGGCTGAGTCGCCAGACTCCTGGGGACGGGGTGGACCTGGCACCCAGCTCTCCAGGCCTTGGTTCTCCAGTGCCCTCTGGGGCAGAGCCAGCGCCACACGGGCCCTTCCCAGCTGCAGGGTTTGTTTTTTTGTTTGTTTTTAAATCAATCACCCTGAAAGCCGCTTCCTGGACAGTCTGCTGCTGGAAGGCTGGAAGAGTGGGGTGGAACCCCTGGGAAGAAGCTAGCCTCTCCCACAGGCACCTCACCTGTTCAAAGGGGCCCCCAGGTCCCGAATTAATAGCAAATGGAGGGGTCCAGCTGCTGCTGTCTCACCTCAAACCCACAGCCAGCCCAGCTCAGGCAGATGAGGACGCTGTTCACGGCGCCTGATGAAATCAATCAAGGAAAAGCTGACGGGAAGACGGATGGGGGTGGCAGGGCTGACGGGACCAGTCAGCACGCAGCTTGCAGGGAGCTCATCTTAGGGCCGCGGTGGTGACAGAAACCACACAGTTCCTGCCACGGTTGTCAAGGAGGAACAGACGCTCAGGGTGCCCAGATCTCTCTCTCTCTCTCTCTCTCTCTCTCTTTTTTAAAAAAGAACTCTCTATGTAAAATCCCTCAAGTTTGCAATGTAGGCAAATAATTCATTATTTTTCTCTGTGCAGATCAAATAAAACATCGTTCCAGGCTGGATTGGATCAGTGTGGATTGTCCTGCACCCGTGTGCGCGCGCACACACACGCATGCACACTCCCCCCCACCCCCATCTCATAGGCGATACAGACGGCTCCATTCACGAGGTCCCTCTCACTCTAGCAACAAATCCCACACACGCCTTCCATTCATGCTGCTGGCCTTGCCGTGGCTCATGGTGTGTGTCTGCCCGTGTGCCTCTGAATGATATGACTGTGCCCATGGATAAACTACTAACAGCAGTGGCTGGCTGCGTGTCGCCCTAACCATGACTGAGTGAAGCCAGAAATTGCAGGAGGGCGCAGCTCTGCCCAGGGTGCCGGGCGGGGCTGGAGAAGGAGGGGGGAGTTGAACTGGGGTCCCCGAGGGGAGGATGAGTGTGGTGATGTGCAGCCTTAGGACCGGCATGTGCACAGGTATCCCCGTGTGACGCAGCACACATGGTGCCTCGGCTCAGGACGTCTTGGTGGCTGCTGAGTCCCCTCTGTGGCCTCTCTGGGGAAGCCACGGAGGCATCATTTACCCCTAAGTTATCTCCACACCACCCTCAAATGAGTCAGCTTGCCAATTCACAGCACAAAATGAGTATGCTTTTCGGCCCCTTGCAAAATGAGGGCTGTGGAAACCAATGGATCTGGAGGAAACTAGAAACAAGCAGCAGGCCCCACTGCCTGGTCACGGTTCACAGCCACTGCAGGGATGCGGGAGCCAACGGGCAGCCCGACACTGGCAGGAAGCAGGGTCTGAGCTGGCCGGCCTGGGCACGGCACAATGGACTGTGGCGGACAGGCCTGCCTGCGGGGAGATGACTTCCAGAACAACGGGAGTTGCTCTGCAGACCTGCCCCCAGGGAGACAGCTGTCACCATGAGACTCAGCTAAGAGCACAACCACTTACTGTGTCTGTGCAGTTTCCTAAGGGCATAAGCAAATTAAGAGACATTGACTCAAGAAAATGTACATCTTGCTAAGCTCAGTGGGAGCCTGGCACTGGAGCCAGACCTGCTTGTCTGCCCAGTTCTGTGTGGGGGAGGCTTCGTTCCAAGTGGGTATGGCCAAGAAGACTCCCTGGTCCCAGCCCAGGCCTGCAGTGTCTCCTGAGACCGCAGGGCACCTGCACTTTTCATCCCCGACTCTGTGCTGCAGAAACCCCACTCCAGGTAAAAGTGGCCAAGAGCTTGGGGCTCCCTTCCCTCCTGCGTGGGCCTCTGTTGGGGCAGCAGGCTGAGAACACTGGGGCCACCACCCTCACCTCCGACGACCCTCAGGGCAGAGGTTCTGCACTGGGTGCCATAAGCTGTGAAAATCAAGCTGGTTCTGCCACCCAGTGCCCTGTGTGGTGCACAGACATGCCACTCCCTAAGAAATGGGCCGCTGCCCCTGCCCCTAGCTACAGAGCAGTGCCCCAGGAATTCTTCCCAGGAAGAGAAGCCAACCATTAGGATAGAGACCTCCACAGTGCTCCTCATGGGAACTGAATTTATGGGAAACAGAGCACTGGGAAGTTCAAGCCTAGAGGCGGAAAGGAACGAGCTTTTGCAGAAATAATGAAGAGGAGGTCGACGGCCCGAGGGGAACACCAAGCTAAACCATATTTCAGCTAGTTTACCAGCGACAGCCTGGAAGAGACAGCTAAGGAGAGCCTTCCTGGGGTCAGAAGAAACCTCAAGACTGGCCTCAAAAATACCCCTGCAAAGGGGCCTGGGTTTGATTGGGTCAAGCTGTGGAGCAGTGTGTGCCCTAGGCCACCGTTGCTGGCAATCAGTGGAACCTGACATGGTGGTATACACACACCAGTAGACAGCTCAAGAGACAGGCCACAGAAAGAGACAGAGAGAGCCCTGCTGAAACCAGTGATCCCAGGGTGACTGTGCACGTGCCCAAGCCGTACCCTCTGGATGATGTGAGAGGACTCACACCATGAGGCAAATAGACTCTAGCACTAAACAGTCCAGCCAAGTTATCCAACAAATAAACAAGCAATAAGAAGCCACGGAGGGAGGGTGTCAGTAACCAGAATTGCTGCAATATGCTATTTAAAATGGCAAGTCTTCAGCAAAAACATTATGAGACACACAAAGAAACCAGAAAATGTGGCCCATGCACAGGGACAAGGCAGGCAACAGAAACTGGCTGTGAGAAGGCCCAGTTGTTATGTTTAACAGAAAAAGGTGTCAAAGCAGCTATTATAAATACAAAGAATTAAATGGAACCATCCTTCAAAAGGTAAAGGAATGCATAATAACCATGTCTCATCAAATAGAGAATATCAAAATGAAAAACAAAAAACAAACAAACAAAAAACAAGGACCAGATGAAAATCCTGGAGTTGAAACATATAATAACTGAAATAAAAATTATTTAGAGGGCTTCAAGAATAAAGCCAAACTGGCAACAGAAAGAATTAGATGGATAAGCTGAAGTGGACTTGAAAACAGACTGATAAAGATTATGCAGTTTGAAGGACACAGAGAAAAAGAATGAAGAAAAATCAACAGCACCTCAGAGGAACGTAGAACACCATTAAATACACCCACATACTCATAACGGAAGTTATCGGCAAGAGAGGAGAGAGAGAGGAAGGGGGGCGAAAAGTATTTCAGGAAATAATGGGTGAACTTTCCCCAAATTGGGTGAACAAGGAAAGATCAGCAAGAAAACAGAAGACGTGAACAACCCCGTGAAGCAGCCAGACCCAGCAGACATCTGCAGCCCACTCCCTTCCGCGCCGCCGAATACACTTTCCTCTGCCGGGCGTATGGGACACTTTCCAGGACAGATCATTTACCGAGGCATAGAACAAACCTCAATACATTTGAAAGGACTGAAATCACATGAACTATGCGGTCTTTCCACAACAGAACGAAATTAGGCATCACAGCAGCAAAAAGTGAGAAATGCACAAATATGTGGAAACGAAACACACCCATCATCAAGAGTCAAATAAATCCCAAATAAGTTAGAAAATACTTAGAGAATGAAAACGAAGACGCACGAACGAGACGTACAGGAGGCAGCTGAGCAGTGTGCAGAGGGACACGCACGGCTGTACATGCCTGCATTCCAGAAGAAGGCTCTCGCCCCAGCAACCTCAACTTCCACTTCAAGCCACCAGAAAAAAAGAACGAAAAAGCTAAAGCAGGCAGGAGAAAGGCAGGCATGAAACGAAGGCAGAAATGGATGCAATCGAAAACAGCAGAACAATCCAGAAAATCAACAAAATCAGAAATTGTTTCTTTTAAAAGACCACCAAAGTTGACACACAAGTCAGGAGTCTGGGAAGTGCTTCTAAGCAGTATGGAGGGTGTGCCTTTGACCGGCCAGTGGGTTCTCCTCTCATCTTGCTCTCCAGGAGGCACCGGCAAGGTTGAGATGAAGACGGAAGTATGCTGACCTCCTCCAGCCCATCCTTCAGCCCTCGACTGGACCACCTGCCCTGGCCCAGCCCCACCTGCTCCGTCCCACCCAGACCCATCCAACCTACCCCATCCCATCCCGTAGTAGTAGAGGTGCTTGCTGTCCTCCGACCCGAAGACCTTGATCACCATGCTGTAGAGATGCAGCCCTTCCACCAGCATCCAGGCGAAGGCGCTCAGGAAGAAATAGTGCAGAAGCATGGCCATCACCCGGCAGCCAGTCTAGGAGCAACCAGAGACAGGAGGTGAGATGGCCCTGGGTGTGCCCTGGGCTTGGTGTGGTCCCAGCCTCCCAGCATCCCTTTCCTGGGTCCATCTTCTGGTCATCTGATTTCATTTTATTCTTGGAGAGTCTTCTCGTTTCTTGGGGCAGAAATCTGGGTGCAGCATATGACTCGGGACTAGCCAATCAGGGCATCATGCTGCCCCAGTTGCAGTGATTGGTCCAGGAGAGTGCCCAGGACTCAGGCCCAGCCAATCACCATCACCAGTTCCACTCCCTCAGAACTGGTTCAGAGGTGGCACATGATGCAACCCGTCCAGACAGGGTAGAATCTGGGGACTTGGGCAGAGCCACTAGGGAGAGTCCTCGCCCCCCACCCTCCTCACCCCTGGGGACAGGAACCTGGAGCTTTGGAGACCGCAGTGGCCCCTGGGGGGAGACAGAAGCCTGCCGCATGGCTGAACCCCTGGGTTCTGGAATTTTCAGTTCTAACTAGACAAATGACAACTTCGAGGCTGTAGGTAGTTACCTGGAACTGAGGGAAGCACCAGTGACAGTGTCCTTGGGCTACTCCCAACAGAACATAAGCACAGGGGCTACCCTGCTCCTGGGGCCCTCCCATCCTGGTTGCCCGTGGGGTCTTGCCGATGATGGGAGTGGGCGGGGCCATGCTCAGTCACATGGCCCAGCTTCGCCTGGGAGCTCTGTACCCTGCTCCTGGTGAGTCCACAGGTGTTGCGGTCACCCAGGGCTCATCCATCAGCTCCAGATAAAAGGTCTGGGAAACCAAAGCCCAGGGTGGAAAGCAAGCAAAGGAACCCAGGGACAGCCCGCTGCCACTGGCTGCTCCAAGGTCTGTCCTTCCGAGGCAGCCAAGACAGTTAATCCTCATAGAAAAAACATGTTGTGTTTCTTGTCATCATGTGCCTTTATATTTAGATACAAACATGGGACTCATCCATTATTTTGTTGGCTCAGTACCTCTGGCCCCAAGTCCTCTAGGACAAGCAACCCATCCCATAGGGAGTTGCCCCTCCCTACCCTGGGGCTCTGGTGAGACCAATTATCTCGATCAGCTGTCCTGTCTGCCATGGAGGTTTATCCAGTGGACGTGTCACTCAAACAGGACTGATCAGAGCCCTTCCCCGGTTCAGACATAGACTCCTAGAAGGGGATTCCTTCCCTGTCCCTGGGGCCGCCGTCTGGGACATGAACTGGAACTGCTGCAGACCTGTCTCCCCACCTGCCAACACCTGGTGGGACCTCGTTCCCCAGTGTGGGCTTGGACAGGCAGGGTTGGCATCACCTGAGTGGCTGGTGGAGATGCAGAATTCCAGGCCCCCAGAGCTCCTAAACCAAAATCTGCCTTTTAAGGAGTCCCCTTGTGATGTTCTCTCTGGAGCTTAAGAAGCGTTCAGAGGGGCAGGGAGGCCGTGTGTGCCCCATCCATTCCGAGCACATCCGGGAATCTCCCAGGTGCTCCCCCTGAGCCCCGTGGGGTGCCCTGTGAGGGGCACCTGTGCCAGAGGAAGGTGCGTCTGTCTTAGGCAACAGCCCCAGGACAGGGCCTGGCACGGAGGTCCCTCTGGGTAGGAGGAGGAAAGGCCCTGCTGACCCCCAGGCTTGGCTGAAGGACTTGTGCTCTGTAGGCCGACCCTGACTGTATCCCACAGTGCTTGGTGCCCCCAGTCCTCTGGCAGAGGCAGCCCTTCTTCCGGGGCATGGGACAGGCAGGCCTCTGCCTCTCCTCCCACAACCAGGAAGCCTGGTCACTTCTGAGAGTCTCGGCTCTTTGTCTCTGAGTCGAAGCCTTCCGAGGACCCCCTGAGAGCCCCAGCCCAATGCAAAGGGCAGGGAGAGGTGAGGTCTAGGGGAGGGGCCCCCTCTTGGCAGGCTGAGGTGGTACGGCTGTGTGCTGTGGGCACATGGTCCAGGGCACAGTCTGCGGCCCATGTCAGGAGACCAGACTAGCTGCCCCTGCAGGGTTGTCAGCATGGCGAGGCCCCTGACATCCCAGGCCCATCCCGGCTAGAGGCAGGAGGCTGACAGGTTGTGAGGGGTGGGATGACTTTGCCACAGGAGCTGGTGGCCACGTCATCCTCCAGGCCGAGGTGAGTGGACACGCCAGCCCATGCCGTGCCCCTCTGCCTTTCTGGAGAGCCTGCCCGACCGGGGACCTGCATGGGTCCTGAGTTGTAGAAACCAGCAGAGAAGGGGGCACCCTGGCCAGCAGGGCAGGCGGGGAGGGAGGGACGTGCCCAGGGCAGAGGGGCCCGCACCTACTCACCGTGCCCGGCTCCAGGCGGAAGCTGATGAGCAGCAGGACCTGTGCCACGAGCACGGCGGAGGACAGGTTGGCGTGGATGTGGTAGCGCGGGCTCCTGATGGTGCTCACGGAGCTGTGGGCGGACACAGGTGAGGCCCGGCTGGCACCGCCAGCCCCGGCGACTCAGGCTGGGCTCCCATCCCACGTGGAGGCCCCCACGTCCCCTGTTCCAGGCGCGGCTGGAGGGCCGTTGCCACTCCCTGCTGAAGACCTACCCTGTCTCCCTCCTGCTTCTGAGGAACAACCCCGGTTCCTTCCGCAGCCACCGGGCCTGTCGCCCTGACTTGGCCCTTCTTCCCTTTGCCCGTTTCGGTTTTTTGACCCGACCCCCGGCTGGCTCCAGCCACAGGGCCTTGCATCAGCGGTGGGGTAAACCCTCTCCCATCTCTCCATGGTGGCCTGAACGTCTCCTTTGGAGACAGCATCCTGTTGGCAGCCATGACGCAGCTCCACGTCCTCACTCTGTCCTCTGCCCGGTGGCGCGACCCCAGTGAAGGTGTCCCTGTCCGCCCGCACCCAAGCATGCGCTCGTCTGTCCTGGGCACGGGTGGCGCTCAGAGCTGACCACACGCCTGGGCGTGGACAGGATGACTGTCCTAGCACCGCGCGGAGGCGCCCCTACCTTGTTCCTGTCTGCTCTTGCCTGACGTGGATCCCAGGGGAATTCCTCCAGGGTCAGGGCTGGGGACTTTTCCGGACCTTTCCAGCTCAGTGGAAGCTGGTGCCCCTGGCTCCACGACCCCTCCTCTCTTCCCTCAGCCACCCAGCCAGCCCCATGGCCCGCCTGCACCCCTGACCTCACGATGGAGGGGGACTCACGACAGCACGGCGAAGGTGACCAGTGTGGCGGCCAGGCAGAGCACCGACAGGGAGCAGCCCACGTAGCTGATGGACGACAGCGCCACCTGGTGTCCACGTGCCAGCTGCAGGGAGCAGAGCGGAGGTGTCAGTGGCCCGCGGACCCCACGGGAGCCTGTGCAGAGAGGGCCTGGACCCACATGAATGTGGTGCTGACCACCCCACCCCTCCCGGCCCAGACGTCTGCCCGGGGTTGCAGCCTCGGCTCGGTGCGTGTCCGCTGCCGCCAGTGCCCTCCGACCCTCAACCCCTCCGGCCACCGCCTCCAGCCTGCTGACACCTGGCCTGCCTGGCCCATCCCCCACCCTGCTACCCACCGGCCCCTCCAGCCTCCTGTCTAGGCTGCAGCCCATGCTGCATGGGTGGCGGCTGGGCGTGTGAGGAAGAGTCGCCTGGAGCCAGAGCTCCTGGGCTCAAGTCCCAGTGGGTCACGGCCTACGGATGATCAGGACTCATGTCCCCTCGCTTGGGATGAAAATACAGCCGCCCCCCTCCCTGGGCGGCATGAGGTATGTGACCTCCATACAGGGCACTCGGGCAGGGCTGGAAGAGACGGGCGGTGCCCTGTGGTAGGGTCCCTGTGGCCCAACATCCACGGCACGTGTGCACAGCCCACTCCTTGGCACCTGTGGCCCTCAGAGATCATTCCCAAGTGGGCGCTGTGGCGGGCATCTGCCCCGGCATCCGCATGTCTTAACACTCAAGGGTGGAGGCATAGTACAGCCACATGACGACGTGGCGACATAATCACCAGACAGCCCAAACGTGGCTCTCTAGGCTGGCCATGGGTCTTGAGGCCAGGTCCACTCGGCCCTGGGCTCCGTGAGACTCATCCTAAGCAGTGCCCTGGAGACCAGTGGGTGAGCCCACCTACCTCTTCTCATTGCTGTGGCTGAGGCCCGTGGGAACCCACGTCCTGCATAGAGACCCCAGGCCAGACCAAGGTCCCCAACCTCTGGGCCTTGTGCCCAGTCTCTGCCTGTGGCCTGGGGGTCCGCACACCTCCTCCCCAAACACCGGACAGAGCCAGGAACTAAAGGAGACCACCCTGCAGTGTGCAAAATGCTCAGAGGACACACCACAGACCCAGGAAGCCTGGTTCGGACGGAGGCGTGGGGTGGCGTGGAAGCAGGTGGAACTCTACCCAGGACCAAGCTCAGCAGGGTCCACCTCTACGTGAGTCCTAACAGACTTAACCACTTCCAAGGCACCGTGGGATGGTGCAAACCCTGGCTGGGCAGGCTAGGGGGCGGGGGCGGCCTGGGTCACGCCACCTCGCCCCACCTTCCCTCTGCACCCTCAGGTCCGTCGTCCTCCACAGGGTCCAGCCCGTGCAACTCAGCCTGGCTGGAGGCTGCAGCATCGCCCGTTCCCATTAGGGGGGTGCAAGCAGCTGTTGCCACAACACAGTGGCAGCTCTTGAGGGGTCTGGAGCGTCCTCCCACCCAGGCACCACAGGGAGGTCGGGAGCCGAGGCTGGGTGCTAAAGCTTGAGGGCCCTTGGCACCCAGGGTGGGCAAGGTCAGGTCTCCCGGGGCCAGACGTGCCACTCCATGACATCGTGGCTGTCACAGCTGAAGTGGGTGCTGCTTGGCCAGGGAGCTGGCAGGTCTCTATGGGTCTACGTCCCCCAGGGGAGGGGAGAGGTGGTCACAGGCTAGTCCCACATCATTCCTGAGACAGCCAGGGAGGGTGGTAGGACGCCCCGGCCACTGGGGAGCTGGCTGTGCTCCGCCCTCCTCGACTTTGGTGACTGCAGGGCTGTGTGGCTGGGGTGGGGACTTGCCCTGCTGTTCTCTCACCTGTGGACACACCCATCCTCCTTCACGCCTGGGCCCTGCCTCTTTGGTCTGAGAAGCACTTCTGGCTCTGTGGCTGCCCCACTCCAGACCCCCCCATAGCCACAGCCACTCTGGGGGGCTCTGTGGCAGGCTCATGAGGTCCCCCAGCTGCACCCATCCGTCTCACGTGGTCTCGACCCCATGGGCTCCCTCCACAGGGCTGGGAGCTGCACAAGCGCCACGCTGTGCCCATGGGGAGTCTGCCCAGAGCCCGGCTCCCTGCCAGTAGCACCGAGGCAGTTCACACAGGCTGGAGGCTGCCACACTCCTTAGCTCCATCGGTGCGAGCCCAGCCGGCATGGTGGCCTTGTGGGGATGGTGCCCATCTGCCCCGGAGTCTCCAGAAAACCAGCTCCCTCTAGGGACGGGTGCGGCCCATGCTCCCATGGCAGAACTCAGCAACAACCCAAGACCTGGGCCGGACATCTCCCTGCAGACAGCC